TGTAGAATCAGTGGGCGGAGCTAAACAGGCTGTGCTGCAGAATCGGTGGGCGGGGCTAAACAGGCTGTGCTGTAGAATCAGTGGGCGGAGCTAAACAGGCAGTGTTGTAGAATCAGTGGGCGGGGCTAAACAGGCTGTGCTGTAGAATCGGTGGGCGGGGCTAAATGTAGAAGCAAGCGTTGATCTTCTGCGGAGGAGGGGTTTATCCACACTATTACATCATAAAGTGGCACATTCCACAAGCTGTCATTTTGGCAGACTGGCTTCAATATAAGCTGTTTTTAGACTAACGAGAAAGTTTTGAGTACTGAAACTTACAGGATGTTTGTATAGTACAATGATCTCTTACATGAAATTCTGATTTCTCAGTCTATGACCCCTTTAAGTGGATGAATGTTGGCCAGCATAAGCTGCAAAATGGACCTTACTTAATGTCTGAAGTCAAAGTCTGTCTACCTGAGGCCCCTTCTTCCTTATGTTGGTATGCAGACACTTGATTGAGTTTGAATGGGCGTCTCTTACCTGAGAGCCCATGACCCTGCTGTTGGCCCCTGGGGACCTGAGAGAAGCCCATGAGGCCGGAGATGCGTGTCTGGAGCCCGGCTGGGCCGCTCCGATGGCTGGGCTGCCCTGGGGAACTGCAGCAGTGGTGGGGTGGAAGAACTCAGCCGGGAGATGAAAGAGAGGTGAAGACGTCTGTCCGTCTCCTCCACTGCCATCTGCCACACACAAACCATCAGCCCATTTCAGAAGAACACAACAGGTGTTTTTACACTCCAGCTTCTTGTGGAAGTTAGGCTACGTCTTCATTAATCCGAATACATTTGAAAATGGTGTTTTCGTTTTAAAACGCTCTCTGTCCACACTAGCATTTTCAAGCGTCTTACAGAAGTTTCTCTTCCACACTGAAACATCAAAAAACATTAAATTCGTTAAAAAAAGCTCACTGAGACAATATAGATATATAGAGATATATAGATATATATATATCAATATAATATGCATCACATGACTAAACATGCATCATCATTTTCAAAAGTCTGTTTTCACAGTCCACATTAAAATGCAAAAATGGCTTTTTCAAATTTTTGGAAAACTTTGGAGAGCGTTTTCAAAAAGCTCAGTTTTCCTTGACAAAAACACCATCTGACGCAAGGCCAAAACATAGAAAAAGATGCGTTTTCAAACGAAAACGTATTAGTGTGGACAAGGCCTTAGTTTAACATTCAATTTAAAACTACATCTGTGACCCTGCAGCACAAAAGCAGTGTTAAGTTGCTGGGGGATATTTGTAGCAATAGCCAACAATACATTGTATGGGTCACAATTATACATTTCTCTTTTATGCCAAAAATCATTAGGATATTAAGTAAAGATCATGTTCCATGAAGATATTTTGTAAATCTCCTACCGTAAATATATCAAAACTTAATGTTTGATTAGTAATATGCATTGCTAAGAACTTCATTTGAACAACTTTAAAGATGATTTTCTCAATATTTAGATTTTTTTGCACCCTCAGATTCCAGATTTTCAAATAGTTGTATCTCAGCCAAATATTGTCCTATCCTAACAAACCATACATCAATTGAAAGATTATTTATTCAGCTTTCAGATGAAAAATTGACCCTTATGACTGGTTTTGTGATCCAGGGTTGTGGGTTTCCATTAACACAGTTTTACCACGTAACTTTATATAAAAAAAAATTTAAAAAGTTTGTCAAGACAAACTTTGATGTTGGCTTGAAAAAGCCTAACCAGAAAGCTTTAATAGCTCAAACTTTAACTGTTTTAAGGCCATCCAGTCTCTCAGACAACCAGACAGACATAGATTTGTAGGTGTAAGTGTAAGAAAGGGGAAGTCGTGGCCTAATGGTTAGAGAGTCGGACTCGTAACCCAAAGGTTGCGAGTTCGAGTCTCCGGTCCGGCAGGAATTGTAGGTGGGGGGAGTGAATGTACAGCGCTCTCTCCCACCTTCAATACCACGACTGAGGTGCCCTTGAGCAAGGCACCGAACCCCCAACTGCTCCCCGGGCGCCGCAGCATAAATGGCTGCCCACTGCTCCGGGTGTGTGTTGACGGTGTGTGTGTTCACTGCTGTGTGTGTGCACTTAGGATGGGTTAAATGCAGAGCACTAATTCCGAGTATGGGTAACCATACTTGGCCACATGTCACTTCACTTCGCTTAGGAGAGGACCGTAACACATCGCATGTAATCGGCCCTTCTGAGAGCAGAACACACAGATGGGGCCTGACCTCCGCGGTGCCCCGTCTCACGCCGCTCTTCCCGTCGGTCTCGCCCTGGGCTGGATGCCTCGCTCTGAGGAAGAACACTTCTGCACACGAGCTCACCTGTGCTCAGGTCAGCGCTGCCGTGCTCCTGTACAGACACACAGCGCAATATCACACTGTACCTACAGCATATTACAACTGAAACAGGTTTGAGAGCTGAAAGGATTTTCAGTTCCTCACACAAAGTTCCTCACACAAAGCATCATATAATAATGACGTATAGAACTATATCACAGAAATCTCACAGACTAAACTGCTAAATATCTGAAAGGAGTTGTTTCCAAATTTAAGAAAAAGAAGCAAAAACCAAGGGTATACCCTGCAGTAAGATTTTTAATGTTTTTTTTAAAGAAGTCTCTTATGCTCATCAAAGCTGTATTTATTTGATCAAAAATACAGAAACTGTAATTCTGTTCAAAAGTATTGCAATTTAAAATAAGAGTGTTCTATTTTAATATACTTTAAAGTGTAATGTATTTCTGTGATGCGCAGCTGTATTTTCAGCATCATTCCTCCAGTCTTCAGTGTCACATGATCTTCAGAAATCAGTATAATATGCTGATTTCTTATCAGTGTTGGAAACTGTTGTCCTGCTTCATATTTTTTTGGGACCTGTGATACTTTTTTCAGGATTCTTTGATAAATAAAAAGTTAAAAAGAACAGTGTTTATTCACAATTTAAATTTTGTGTTACAATATACACTACTATTCAAAACTTTCTTTTTTTAAAACAAAATAATGCTTCTATTCAGCAAAGGTTTGTGTTAATTGAATAAAAAGTAATAGTAAAGACTTATATTGCTAGAAAAGATTATTTTGAATAAATGAACTTTTTATTCATCAAAGAATCCAGAAAAAAAGTATCACAGGTTCCAAATATATATATATATTAATTAGCACAACAGTTTCAACAGTTTTTCTGTATTTTTGATCAAATAAATACAGCCTTGATGAGCATAAGAGACTTCATTAATAAACATTAAAAATCATACCGATATCAGACTTTTGAACGGAAGTGTACATTCACCAAAAAAGGAAAAAAGTTAAATAAATTAAATAAATTTATTTTATTTTAAATAAAAAAGATTTAATCAATACAAGTGTTTGTGTGCCTGCTAGTCGCTGGGGGATATTTGTAGCAATAGCCAACAATACATTGTATGGGTCACAATTATACATTTCTCTTTTATGCCAAAAATCATTAGGATATTAAGTAAAGATCATGTTCCATGAAGATATTTTGTAAATTTAACCTACCGTAAATATATCAAAACTTAATGTTTGATTAGTAATATGCATTGCTAAGAACTTCATTTGAACAACTTTAAAGATGATTTTCTCAATATTTAGATTTTTTTGCACCCTCAGATTCCAGATTTTCAAATAGTTGTATCTCAGCCAAATATTGTCCGATCCTAACAAACCATACATCAATGGAAAGCTATTTATTCAGCTTTCAGATAATCTCAGTTTTAAAAAATTGACCCTTATGACTGGTTTTGTGATCCAGGGTTGTGGGTTTCCATTAACACAGTTTTACCACGTAACTTTATATAACATTTTTTTAAAAAAGTTTGTCAAGACAAACTTTGATGTTGGCTTGAAAAAGCCTAACCAGAAAGCTTTAATAGCTCAAACTTTAACTGTTTTAAGGCCATCCAGTCTCTCAGACAACCAGACAGACATAGATTTGTAGGTGTAAGTGTAAGAACACATCGCATGTAATCGGCCCTTCAGAGAGCAGAACACACAGATGGGGCCTGACCTCCGTGGTGCCCCGTCTCACGTCGCTCTTCCCGTCGGTCTCGCCCTGGGCTGGATGCCTCGCTCTGAAGAAGAACACTTCTGCACACGAGCTCACCTGTGCTCAGGTCAGCGCTGCCGTGCTCCTGTACAGACACACAGCGCAATATCACACTGTACCTACAGCATATTACGACTGAATCAGGTTTGAGAGCTGAGAGGATTTTCAGTTCCTCACACAAAGTTCCTCACACAAAGCATCATATAATAATGACGTATAGAACTATATCACAGAAATCTCACAGACTGTTAGTCTGTTACTCTTAGTCTATCCACATTTATTTCATATGGACAAAAAGCAGCATGAACATAACTGCTAAATATCTGAAAGGAGTTGTTTCCAAATTTAAGAAAAAGAAGCAAAAACCAAGGGTATACCCTGCAGTAAGATTTTTAATGTTTTTTTTAAAGAAGTTTCTTATGCTCATCAAAGCTGTATTTATTTGATCAAAAATACAGAAACTGTAATTCTGTTCAAAAGTATTGCAATTTAAAATAAGAGTGTTCTATTTTAATATACTTTAAAGTGTAATGTATTTCTGTGATGCGCAGCTGTATTTTCAGCATCATTCCTCCAGTCTTCAGTGTCACATGATCTTCAGAAATCAGTATAATATGCTGATTTATTATCAGTGCTGGAAACTGTTGCTGCTTCATATTTTTTGGGGACCTGTGATACTTTTTTCAGGATTCTTTGATAAATAAAAAGTTAAAAAGAACAGTGTTTATTCACAATTTAAATTTTGTGTTACAATATACACTACTATTCAAAACTTTCTTTTTTTAAAACAAAATAATGCTTCTATTCAGCAAAGGTTTGTGTTAATTGAATAAAAAGTAATAGTAAAGACTTATATTGCTAGAAAAGATTATTTTGAATAAATGAACTTTTTATTCATCAAAGAATCCAGAAAAAAAGTATCACAGGTTCCAAATATATATATATATATTAATTAGCACAACAGTTTCAACAGTTTTTCTGTATTTTTGATCAAATAAATACAGCCTTGATGAGCATAAGAGACTTCATTAATAAACATTAAAAATCATACCGATATCAGACTTTTGAACGGAAGTGTACATTCACCAAAAAAGGAAAAAAGTTAAATAAATTAAATAAATTTATTTTATTTTAAATAAAAAAGATTTAATCAATACAAGTGTTTGTGTGCCTGCTATTGTGCATTTAACTTGATTAACTTGACGTCTGTTTTAAAGCAGTGGGCGACTAATTCACTCCTTGATTTGCTTAATAAAAGCCTTTGAGACTGTGTTGACAAACATGTTTATAGTGCATTATTTTCCAAAGCGTTTAAAATAGATGTAGTGCAGCCCTTAAAAGTAATTTGCATGCAATGTATCATGACAACCTCATGCACTTACTGCTGATCTATGTAAGTAAAATAACTTGAATGGCACACAAGAGTGTGAATCTGCAGGTTTACTACAGAAAAGCTCAAATGTGTTTAAAAGTCTGATTGACCAAATCGATTTTTCTTGGTTTGGCCCCAAAACGTTCAAACGTCAAGCTACGCCTATGGTGAGACGACAGATGATTTTCCTAAAGTGAATTATTTCTTTAAAGTGTTCAGTGCAAGTCAAGCATGTTCTCCAGCTTCTCTACACGAGTCTGACAGCAGAAGCATCAGAGACACAGACAGAGCGAGAAGATCCTGCTGAGACGAACCCGAAGGAGCTTTACACATCCACCCGAGAGACCCATGCACTTATCAGTTAATTAAGCATGTCAGTAATGATTAATCAGCATGATGATACACACACACACCTTACGGTCGCTGTGCTCGTCCAGGCTGATGTCATCAGGCAGCGCCGGTGAGGAGGATTTATCTGACAGCTGCTCCGACATCAGAGACGTTTTCTCGACCTCAGCCAGCCAGATCTAAAAACACACACCATCACCACAGGAAGCTGTCAAACACTGGAGCATGCAGAGATCTGAGCGCTCACTCACATGACCTGCTGCGCACACACACACACACACACACACACACACACACACACACACACACACACACACACACACACACACACACACACACACACACACAGTCACAATCACACACAGACACAGTCACAATCACACACACACACACACACACAGACACACACACACACATACATACAGACACACTCACACACACACACACACACACATACATACACACACATACATAGAGACACACTCACACACACTCACTCACACACACACACACACACACACACACACACACGCACACACACACACACAC